TGAAAATTGGCCTGAAAAAAATCGGTCTGAAATGCACCCACCCCCCACCGGGGGCCCAAGTGAATATGCTGTCCAGGGGGCCCAGAAACCGCAGCGGCTCCCCTGATAATAATAATAATAATAATAATAATAATAATATGAATCATGTTAGTTGGCTTCATTTATCAAACAGATATTACCTCCAGTTATTTCCACACTTATTTATACCTGTTAAAATGTATTGTATAAGCTTTTGTTACTTTCACTGTTCATTTTAATGGCTCCATTGCAGCAGCTCAATATACTGTAATCACAAAACGTTTTCCTAAAATAATGCAGGGAACCACTCGTTATACATTATATGAGTGCACGCGTACTATTTTGGTGATGTAATTTGCATCACGCGCAGTGTACATGGACATACGCAGCGCGCACACGTTTGCATTGGTGCAGAATGAGAGAGACACTTACAGCCTAGTCTGCTAGTTTCACTTCTGCTTTAAATAAAGTTGTGTATGCTTGATGTTTAAAATAAATGCTGTTTATAGTGAATGCCCCTATAATTTTTGTTTGTTTTATATTTACGATTTAGTTTTAATCCAAATGCATGCACTAATGGAGCAAGCAGCAATCAAGATCATGCAACAGAAGTGCGCGCTCTCGGACTCTCTCTCTCTTGCTCTCTCTCTCTCTTTCCTTACCGTCAAATAACTTAAGTAACTTGTGCATTGTTTTACTTACTTGCTTTTGACATATCCGACCGAACTACAGACTTTCCAGTGATGTCTGTAAGATATTCACTCGACAAGCTTGCGCATCTGTGCAGCTGCGTGCTCAATCCACTCAGTGCTCTCTATCTATCGGTATCGGTGCATCCCTAAAAATGAATATATGTGATTTATGTTTTTCTTCTAAAGTAAGCAAAGCATTTTACATCCCAATGTATTCTTGTCATAACTCTCTTGAATAGATGTTAAACTTGTATAAATAAAAAAATCTATACTGCTCTTTTGTGAATGGGATAAGTATCAGTATTGTCTGATTCAAGTTGCTCATCTGATTGTTCTTTTTAATTATATGTGGATAATGCAGCTGATATGAAACATATGTTTGTAGCAACATGAATCATAACTGCAATTAGACGCGGAGATACTCTTGTTACGTTGTCTGTCTCTACTGTGGTAATAAGCAGCTGTGAGTTTAACAAACAGTACAGCAGCATGAGATATGAAATTGTTTTACAGAAGCTGAATTTATTTCATGAAACATTTGGAATTGCCAGCAAAGGCAATTACTGTATATGGTTCTCGTTTAGTCATTTTTTGGGTAATTTACTAGGAACATTCTATTTAGGTGAAGAAAACCATTATCATTTCCAGAAGAGTTTGTTATGATAAAGCGTTTCTTCAACTTCGAAGACTTTTATGTTCGAAGGGTTGATTTTTTTTTTTACTAATACATTTCACATTTTTGTTATGTAGTGGTCACATTATAACCATTTTGTAAACACATCTCTATGCTTTGTTTATTTTTGCTTTTTTCTCTCTCTCTAGAATGCTTTTTTGTATAGATTTTACTGTTTCACCATTGTCCCAGACTCTGACTTCCTATATGGAAATTCAATTTTTTACAATTGTCAGGTAAAACTGTGATAATCTAAACAAAGAATGAAATAATCAGAAAATAATGTGGATAATTTCATTTGTGGATTCATTTATGCAAAAAGTGTGAAAATGTTATTTAATTGTGCGTATTTACCATGTGTAAATGCTAACTATGACATTAACCTCAATTAGAGGTTATTTTTTATTTTATTTTACTTTATTTTTGACCCTGGACCACAAAACCAGTCATAAGGGTCAATTTATACATCACAAATAAAATACATCAAAAGCTAAATAAATAAGTTTTCCATTGATGTATGGTTTGTTAGGATAGGACAATATTTGGCCGAGATACAACTATGAACTAGGAATCTGAGGGTGCAAAAAAAATCAAAATATTGAGAAAATCGCCTTTAAAGTTGTCAAAATGAAGCACTAAATTTATTAAGTTTTAATATATTTACATAAGGAAATTTACAAAATATCTTCATGGAACATGATCTTTACGTAATATCCTAATGATTTTTGGAATAAAGGAAAAATCGATAATGTTGACCCATACAATGTATTTTTGGCTATTACAACAAATATACCCCAGCGACTTAAGACTGGTTTTGTGGTCCAGGGTCACACTTTACTTTACTTTACTTTACTTTACTTTACTTTACTTTACTTTACTTTACTTTACTTTACTTTACTTTACTTTACTTTACTTTACTTTACTTTACTTTACTTTACTTTACTTTACTTTACTTTACTTTACTTTACTTTACTTTACTTTACTTTACTTTACTTTACTTTACTTTACTTTACTTTACTTTACTTTACTTTACTGCCCTGGGATGAAAATTAGCCACCACATTTTGCATTGCTTTTATGTATTATTTATGTGTATTGTCTATGATTAAATATATAAAAATGGAAATGGAAACATTATTTAATCCAAAAATTTATTTTCCAGAGCTGTCATTTCCACCACAGACTGCTATAAACCACAATAAATCATTTGAGATATATGGTTGAAATAGAAATGGTGGGAATAATTATGACAGAGTTCTCCTGTAATGTATTCTTAGACACTTTTGGACATTTTTGTTGACAAAGTGTAAGAAAAAATGTTTTAAGAAAGTTTATTTTCTAAGTTAGAAAAGAATACCCAATTACAGTGTCCTTAGGGACCAAAATAAGTTTAGCAATGCTTACCACAATGAAATAAACTTGATTTATTTTGGCACCAACAAGCTATTGTAGCATATGCGCATGTAACTCCTTTGATTGAAAAGCATACTTTCTATTCTTCTGAAGTGTTGCTGTTGTGTTTGGTGTGGCAGGTGGCTGTGTGAAGGGGGACCCCCAGGGCTGGACCCATGAGGAGTCAAAGAAGATGCTCGCAGCCTGGGCGCTTCTGCTCTTCTTAGCCATGTGGGTGAGAAACGCCACCAGTGGCCCGCTCTCATTCAGAATAGGTGAGTAATGTCTGCCGCTTTCAAGCTGTAAAGCACATCACTATCTATGGCCTGTATCTCTCGTTAGTTCTTACGCTGAACGGTGTAATTTGTAATCACTGTTAATTAAAGTGATGGGGTTTCACACCAGATTTGTTGCCTTAAGGCGGACTGTAACTCCCAGAATTAACACACTGGAAAAGGAGGATGAGCATGTGAGCGCTGCTTGTTTTATGTTGATGTTGTAAACAAAGGCTAGTTGAAAAAATTAACGGTTTCTGGTGTTGTAACACTGTGGAGGAAGCTGCGTTGAAACAGATTGTGTCTGACTCAGAGCTCACTCTCTATATAAAGATACCTACTCAGTTCACTTTTCAGGTAAATCAGCCTACAATTGGCTTACTTGTACAGTGGAGTCCACATTAAAATATAGGAAGGTTTTAGTTTTTACATTGTTAATTGATTAAGAAAATTTGTGACCGTGATCATTGGATTTTGTACAGATTTTAGGACACAATGAAAATCTAGAATAAAAAAGAAAAATGAAACCTTGAAATAAATACTCTTAAAAAAAAATGTAGGTTTCTGGATTTAAGGAAGTTTTTCAGATTTTATTTGACATTAGGTCAATTGAATGTAAATGAGTGGCATTGATCATGTGACTCTGTGCAGTTGGTTAGATGTTAGATGGTTAGATGTTTCATGCTTTTGTTGAATCACAAGATGCTTTTTTGGATCATTTTAAAAACATGCTTGATCCACATGACCATCAAGTTTCTTACAAAGTTGTGGAGTTTATGCATCTTGTCAAAGAGTAAGACATTCTGAAATTCATGTTCATTTTTAAGCCTTTTTTTTTTTGCGACTTTTCGACCTCGTTGTAATTGTCTCTTCACAGTAAAATGGAACTGAGAAAGTATCTTAAAGGGATAGTTCACTCAAAAATAAACATTTCTGACATGTCAGTTCAAATGTAGCCTATATGACTTTCATTCTTCTGTGGAAAACAAAAGAAGATCATTTTAAAAATGCATGCCATGCATATATGTTAAAAAAATAAAATAAATAAAAAACCTTTTTCCATACATTATTACAACATTACAAATTACATGATCTGTATCTTTTTTTTCCCTTTCCATACATAGAAAGAAAATGGGATCCGATGTTGTTTTGGTCCCCATTGACTTACGTTGTATTTTTTGACCATACAGTGGAAGTCAATGGGAATCGAATCTGTTTGGTTACCAACATTCTTCAAAATATCTTCTAAAGGTATTGCAACATTTTAAACAGTCTTTGGCTCTTTAAAGTGGTTACATCGCTCTCAACAGATTTCGAAACACCATGTTGTATCGCCAACAGGGGCGGATTTAGTGATTTGGGGGCCACAGGCAAAATACAGGAATGGGGCCCTATACAATTTCACACATTTACAACCTTGAGGTTTCTTTCACTGTTGCTCGCTGCTGTACGACCGTGCCTCATAGTTGTGTCGAATCTTTTAGATTTTTCATGTACATGTTATAAATAAAGGATTTCTTTAATGTTGTAACCTTGTTCATATTTAAACAGGTTATCATAGTATTAAAGTAGGTTGGACACTAGGTGGTGCGTTGGGGTAATTTTCACTATGCAATTGTCTACACAATGCAAGGCTGTCTAATTCTAAACTTTAAAATATACATTTATTTTTATATTTATTTTAATTGCACATTTAAATTAAACTGAAGGAAATTATAAATTTACATGCTTAAGGATTATTTTAACCAAACATGAAGTGTGCCTGTGTGGAAAGTGTCCTTCTTGGGTCTTTCACCAAAACGAGTGAGCGCCATTTAAAAAAATTAAAATAGGCCCTATATAATATGCACAATATGCATGATTTATTTAAATTTAAGATTTAAATTTTTCTGGATTCAGTTTTTTTTTTTTTTTCATTTAAATTTTTCTGGATGACTATATTACATTTTAACAAAAAACATGTCTAATTAATTAAAATCATGAAACTTGTTTAATTTAACAGCAATTTAGGCCTATTAAAAGTTTAACAAAAATTACATTCTTAGGGCCCAAATTCTGTGCTTTCCATTT